TGACCGGCTGGGAGACGGCCGAGTGCCCCTCGGGGAAAGCGCAACGGGAGGAATGAGTCACATGGGAAACTCAAGGCAGCCCTCGGGGGAAGACTCGGGCTCCCCCCGCTGTGTGCACCAACCATCCTCCCTTTTTCTCTCTCCAAGTGGTATTTTTTCTACTTTGCAACAAAATGCTCTTTAAAGGTGAGGTGCAACGAACCTTTGTTTTAACAGGTCAGATTAAAGATCTGTTAGAGACTACTTCTTCTCTAAACCACCTCCATGCCTCGGAATGTGTCTGCTCCTAACACGGCCATTTCACTTGATCCTGCTGCCAGGTTAGAAGGCAGGTGGTGCTGCGTATCAGCGCTGAACCAGCTTCGCAGGGTGCCCACCTTGCAATCCAAAACCTGCAAGCTGCGAAAGCTCTCCAGGACTCCTCGCAGCAAAACACGCGACCTACCTGAATTGGCTCCAAGTTACTTGAAAAGTTTCTAGACCCCCGGTATCTCACTCACAGACAGACCCTGTGTTCCGAGCTGTCACCTCTGACCAGTCACAAGTTCAGACTGGTCTGTCTAAAACCTCACGTGAACATCTACGGCAGAGACTCTTCACCGACGTTTTTCCCCTACTGATGTAAATTCTTACCTTAACAGCACTGACCTCAGTTCTGATCTGATCTTAGTGAGGGTTAAGTGCTCTGACTCCACGTTAGACAGACAGGAAATCGTATACAAAAACTTTAGTTTGTGGGCACCCTGGACATTCTGCTTCAGGGGCAATTTCATGGGCACTATATGCACCCAGTGTTTTCACGGGCGCATCACACGCCAGTTACAGGAGGGGAGTAAAGCCCTGCAGAGCTGCTTATGCCCCAGTAAAGAGCATTTAATTTATCCAGAATTAACAGCGCCCAGACTTCTGCTTCCTTGGTAAGGCTCTGCCACGACAACTGCCTTAACTGCAGGGTGAAGAGTTTGGGCCTAGTGCAGCCCGCCCTCGGCTCTACAGCTGCGGCTGACGCTCAGCAGAGGCTTCGCAGCGCATCAGGAGAAAGAGTGACCAACAGTTCTCCTGTAAAACACAAACCGACTGGCCTGGGCTCTGCAAAGCATGAGCAGCTCATGCTTTCAGCATACTCTACCTCCTTATAGGAGTCCATCTCATGTTCATACATCACCAGGTCTCCCATTTTCAGAGCCATGAAAGCCTTGGTGAGCGTCAGGACCACCGACGGCAGGGTCTTTTCTACCTTCTGGAGACACTTCACAGCTCTCCAAGGACACGTGTTCCTCATGCAGGGGCTGCAGAGGATGTGAGGCAGCTGCACAGGGTCAGCAACGCAGAATATTTGGAGAACTTGATTGGCTGCTTCCTGTGAAAACAAAAAAGCCATTTGACAGTTTAGACCTTTCCAGACACACAGTCTTCTATGTCACATGGAAGTACTGCAGGGCTTGTCTGCTTTTCCATACATAAACCGCAGGTACAGCTTAGCTATCAAACCCCAGGGCCCCTCCTGCCTCTCTCCTCCCGAGCGGTGAAAGTAAAGGATCTCCAAGCAGCAGGGATTCAACCCGTACTCTGGGGTGCCAGAAGAATATCCACCACCACAGAGAACTGGTTTTACCAACCCCTACAATGTGGCAGTGTTCAAAGAAGCCATTTGGTTTGGTACCGAAATGGGGAAGAGAAATTTGAGGTGAGTTTTCCCGCAACACGTCTCTGCAAGGGGGAACCAGATCAGCAACGTGCAGCATGACAGCAAAGCTAGCACACACTGCTGGAGAGCAGAGCGAGTGCCCCAGCTGCTGCTTGCTGGTTTGTCAGCAACAGTGGGAAATGAGAGCCATGTCCCAGAGAACAACTGCCCAAGTGAATACGCAGCTCAGCATTTGCAAAGGGAATTTGATTAGAGTTTGAGACACAGTTCTTAAAATTGGAACTAAATCAACAGGTTAAGAAAAAACCCTTGTTTCTACCTTACTTAGTTCTTCATTTACGTCTTCATTAAGGGAGTGAGTTAGGTAAAATATAAATCCTCTCTCGTATGCCTGTCTTTCGTCACCTTCTGAGACCAGTCTCTTCAGAACTTCAGTGACGGATAAACCCGACATTCTGTAGTAGGGCAAAGCCAGGTGATAATCCCTCGTGTCACACCTGAAGGCCACAGAGAGGAGGGAAAGAACAAACCAGCTCAGGGCGACGCCGTCACCGTTGGTAAGAACTAAACTAATGCAGTCGCAGCAGGATCTGCCGAGACACAGCTCAGCCAGCGCCACGCTGTGAGCTCTCCGGTGACGGCAAACTGGCGCTGAACAGCCGACGGCACCAAGCTGGGCTCTCAGAACCTAGGGGTTTATGGTAGATAGAAACGTGCATCGACTAACGTGAACCGGAGTGGTGGATCGTCATGGTAAGGTTGGAAACGAAAGCCCACCAGGATCACCGACACCCAAAGTGTACCTGCTGTAGCAGTCTCCTAGGAAGGCACAACTTTCTCTGAATGCCCCCAGAAGTTCTTCTTCCTCATCGGCGTCAAGGAAACCCGGGTCCATTAGAGCTGCTCTGACCAGCAGGTGAGCCTCACTGAGAAGGTGGATGCAGCTCTCTGTTTTCACATTTTCGTAAGTTCTGCTGTAATCCACCTGGAACAGATGGAGGATACACTGCACCTGCTGATCAAGAACACGCAGGAACAATTCTGACAAGGGCAGCAGCCTCCCGAAACAGGCTTACAGGCTGCTCTCAAGAAACGCGTGACAGTATCTCCAGCACTGACACGCAGCGGGATTAACTAACAGCACCTATTCGGAGTCACCAACCAACCCCGGGGCTGGGCAGTACCATTTCTCTGTACAGCTGAACGGTTGAAACGGTGTTTATAAGATATAAATTCCAACCAGGCTCTGGCTCAGAATGTGTTCTGGATTTGCTGCTGTCAGCCTTTCTGGAACTAGAGAGAAGGAAGAGAGTTGTCAGTGTCCAAACTAACATTGTGCAGCCAAAAATCCCCCACTCACGCGATAACATAAATGCACAAATAGGGACGTCTGCGGGCTGGGAGATGCTGCAGAGAGCAACCTATCTTGTTGATTCCAAGCCTGTGTGCCCTCCCCTCCCTTCTCCTCTGTCAGTTAATTCAGTAGAACTGAAACAAGTGTTTGATTTCTGTTCGCAGGTACTAACCAGGGAATTGTTTCCAACTAGTTTTCCACAGAGGAACCTCTCCAATTCTGACATCCACAAATGCAGCACCGTCCACAGAGCTACAAATACCATCTCCCCAAACACCCAAATCCTTACAGCATCCTTCTTCCAGGCTTTCTTCTCTCAGTAATATCTTCCGTGTCTGCCTTAGTCAAAAGGATTATGTGGTTTTTGAAGTGACAGAGAGCTCTTGGTCCTATGAAGAGCTGCATTCGCAGCGTGCACACATCCAGCATGACGGGCGGACAAGCCTAGAAAGGAAAGAGATTGTTCTGTAATGCCAGTCAGGATGGAAAAATGTCACCTCTGTCCACTGATCTGGCACTAGAAATAGTCACTGGCTTTCCTAACGTAAGGAAGGATGACGGTCCTTATACACCTATGACATAAATCATTTAACCATAGGTAAAAAATAGTAATTTCACACTTCAAAGCAACTACAGTTGTAGCTGTGTGTGTCAAAATAACTGAGCCTGAGGGAGATGTCCAACATGGAAAACTTCATCCCAAGTGGTTTGGGTTTGGCCAAGTTGGAAAAGATTGCGTGACACGGCTGTGAAAGCTTTGCTTTCGGCTGCTTATAAAAAACTACATTTTTTAAAACTCTCTCTCTATTTAAATACATAAAAAACAATTACAGATAGAAGTGTTACACTTGCTGGCCTCCCGTTCCATGACACACCCAGTAGGACAGCCCCGATCTGTTCACACGCACCTTGAGGTTAACACCCACCCATCGTCTGTTCTGGACTGAAAATGGGAAAAATGCAACTTCACTTGCCCAGAAATACTTTAGATACTTTTACTTACAGCTTTAAGAAGTAAAACACCGTATTTACAAGGTAACAAACACGGTGAAGTAAAGAAACAGCATCAAGGGTGTTCCCTGCTTCCTGCGGAAACCTCCAAATCTCTCCTAGGGCCGAGGGCCACAGCGGTGACCAGGGGCTCCCAACTAGGCCCCCAACTGGGCCAGTCATGGCAGGAACCAGCCAGCTCTGCAAATAGCGTGAAACCCAACAAAGAGCAGTAACCACCACCATCAGCACGCTTCAGACTCCACACTGGGGCAAGGACACCCCGAGGAAAAGCCTGTGGACAACCCACTCCAGGGCAGGGATGCCCCAGGGGGACTGCGGCCCACAGAGGACCCACTCCAGGGCAGGGATGCACCAGGAGCAC